AACTTTGTAGTTTTGAGTTTTTATTTTTGAGAACGTTAAGATGCTCAAAAATAATTTAAAATTTCACATTCCCAAAATAGAAAACCGCATTTGAAACCGCCGAGGACCAAAGTTGTCCGGTTTTGATAGTTGGAGGGTGTTTCTTGACCGGTTTCATAGTTGAAGGTTGAAAATCATACTTTGGCGTAAGTTCAGGGTTGTAAAGTGTACTTAACCCTTTTCCTTTTCACATTAATCCCTCACTGACGTTTTACAGCCCGTTCGGGAGGCCGTATCGTATCGTGGATTATTTATTGCTAGCTGGTTTAGTGTGAGAGAAAAACAATGTTCCCGGCTAAAAATTTACGATCATTTACGAGCAAGCGAACAGGACGCCAGTAACTAGTAGCGTGGTTTATGAAGCTCGGCTCTAAAACTAGCCATGTTTTTAGCTTGAAGCCTACTAGAACACACTGGTTTATGAGAGCTCGGCAAGGGCAGTAGGCTGAAAGGGACCTGTTTGTTATGAATGAATGAACAAACGAAGGCCATGTTTAGTTCAGCACCGATTCGGCGCCGCCGGAAAAACTGAACACGGGAGCTATACTGTAGCGTTTTGTTTTTATTTGGTAATAATTATCCAATCGTTTACTAATTAGGCTTAAAACGTTCGTCTCGCAAAGTACAACCAAACTATGTAATTAGTTTTTGATTTCGTCAACATTTAATACTCCATGCATGTACCGTAAATTTAATGTGATGGGAAATATTCTTTTTACATAACGCTAAATTCTGGAATCTGGGGCAAACATGGCCGAAATGTGCATGTTTGCTGAATCTGTTCCTCTACCGGATGTAGCAACAGTTTTCTCCTGCCGCTTCTCCTGTGACTGAATACTACTGAACCAGGGGCCGGTTTAGATCCATAAATTTTGGCAAAATGAGGACGGTAGCGTTTTGTTGTTATTTGGTAATTAGTGTTTAATCATAGTCTAATTAGGCTTAAAAGATTCGTCTCGTAGATTTCGTCTAAATTATATAATTAGTTTTATTTTTTATTTATATTTAATGCGTCTAAAGATTCGATGTGACGGAAAATCTTGAAAAAATTAACGTTTTGGAAGGAAACTAAACAGGACACACACCTGAACTGAACTCTCAGAACACCTCTCCCCAAACAAGGAAACTGGTAAAACCTGCGAGGAGAGATGGGGGCTCCGAAACTCTGACGAAACGGTTTCGTTTATACGAGGCCAGCCAGCCCAGCCCGCCCGCCCGCCCCAGCCGATCGGGCTGAAACTGGTTAACAAACAGAGCAGGGCAGCTCAAGATAGAAACAACCCTGCAACAAACCGAACGATGCATTCTAGATTTTACTCCTACAGGACATGTCTTGGTTCAGGTTCAGCCTTCTTGAACACAAACGAACCGTAAAAGTTGCAAATTTTATGGAAACCGAAAACCGGTTTCAGTTTCTCAGGTTTCTGAGAAAGCAGAGAAGAAAGATTAGTTCGCATGAACAAGCTCTTTAACAGCACTACCATGTTTCCACTAATTTCCGCGGGATAAACAAGCTGACCCCCCAAATTCATACAATAGGCTATATTATACGAGCAGATTCATTCAACCACAAAAGAACCAACTCCTAAGCTACTAGTACTACTAACATTCTTTGCAGTTTTTGCACTCGTTCAGTGTGGATTAGCCACTGAACACTACCACCACACTGACAGAGTAACACAGCAGAGCACCCAGCCGCCCGGCAATGCCGTCGCCTATGCCTGCGCCGGTCGCGAGTCACGACCTGGAGGAGAAAGCGGCGGTGGCGTTGAGCCCCCTGGCGAGGCCGTGCACGGCGCCGTAGCTGCGGTTGCCGAGCCCGATGCAGCCGAAGAGGAGCAGGCCCTGGCGGTACGGCAGCGACGTCCGGCGCCGCATCTCCTCCGCCTCGGCGCGCCGCGCCTCGTACAGTAGCTCGTGCGCGGACCTCCTCCTGCCGCCGCGGTGCCCCGACGCCCCGCCCCTCCCCTTCGCGGGTGACGGAGACGGAGATGGTGACGATGCGCTCGGCTTCGCCGCCGCGGTTGGCGCAGCTGGAGCATCAGCGTGGTGGGAATGCTGCTGCAGGTGGTGGGTGGTCTTGCCGCCGTCCGGCTTGCTGCGGTGGAGCAGGTCCTTGAGGAACCCGCCCCAGCGGCGAGATCCCCGGGAGGACGAGGACGACGTGGAGGAAGCAGAGGAGGCGGTGGACGACGACGACGACGAGCGCGACGCCGCGGGGGTCGCCGCCGCCGGATGCTGCGCCTCGTCGGCGGACTCGGCCTCCAGCACAGGTTGTGCAGGCGCGGTCCGCCAGTGTGTGCGGAACGGGGACATCGAGCGCGCCTTCCGGCGCAGGGAGCGGCTCCGGACGCGGCCGCGCTCGTCAGTCGCCTCCTCCTCCACCCGCTCGGCGTCAGCGCGCCGCGCGTCCGCGGCGGCGTCGGGGAAGTCCAGCAGCAAGGCCGGGTCCGGGTGCGGCTGCAGCAGCGCGGCGGCGAGGCGGACGGGGCGGATCTGGCCGTTGTGGAAGAGCTCGTCGGCGGAGGACATGGCGGCGGCGGAGGGCGACGGGAAGCGCGAGGAGAAGTCGAAGTCGAAGTCGAGGACGCCGGGGATGGCGTCCTTGCCGCCGCCGCCGCGGGTAGGGCTGGTCGGCGCGCTGAAGAAGTGGGACGGGTACGGGTCCCGGTCCCGGTCACGGGTGGGGCTGGACGGAGCGCTGACGAAGGGCGTGGAGCAGGCGCTGTCGTCGCACGCCGGCGGGTCGTCCGCGACGGTGGTGCTGACGGCCGCCGATGCCGCGGCCTCGGCGCCGGCCATCGCCGGGGCGGTGGAGTCGGGCTGCTGGTGGGTTGGTGCCAGGGGCTTGGTGGCGGTGCCGTTGTGTGCGCGAGGGAGGATGGAACTGGGAAATGGTGATGGGAGAACGGGAAGCGTGGGAGGGCGTGGAGGTGGGAGTTTTTAACTCGCGGGGACTTTTCGCGGATCAGCCCCCGCGGTTTGGCTGAATACGCGTTTGGTCTGTCTCTGGGTGTGCCCAGGGGCCGTGTGGTAATAACCGGACTCCGCGCGTGTCCTTGTGGGAGGATATTATTGTTCCCTGTACCCGGCGGATAACCAGATCTGACCGTGACGAACCGCGTAACCGCAGGGCGGTCCCTCTCGCCTGCCTGCCCGGTGGCCGGTAGGCCCCTGACGAACTCGTCCGCTCGTCCCGTTCGTTTCGGCTTCAGATCAACGACGATGGCGATGCTTTGGCAAAGCAGCCAGGGAGTGTCGCCGTCGCCGCTGGAGCAGGATGAAATGGATCGCGCCGCCGCAGGTCCAGGCGTCCAGCACACTACTGTGCGGCGACGGCGGGAGTGTTGCAGGGCGGGCGTCTAGCGAAGAGAAGACGGTGCTATACTAGGCGGGTAGAGTAGGTACCGGCCGGCCCACGTGGGCTGCGCGTTGCGTGCGCGCATGCCGCAGCCGGTTCCATGGCCCGTTCCGTCATCATCCTGGCAGCGATCACGATGCGAGGTCCGGGGCGGTGCGGCGCGCGGCCATCCGTGACTCCACAGTGGGTTCAGAACGGACGGGAGGGCCGCGTGTGTGCGGGACCACCGCAGGTGCACAGTTCCGGAGGCGTCCGTCCGTTCCGTCCGTGGTGGCCGGGGGCGGGGGCGAGCGACGGAGGGACGGACAGCTGTTCGTGTGGGGTGGTGGATCCGGACCGTACGTACAGGTGATGCGGCGCACAGTTCCGCTACCACCTAGCCATCGCCACTTCTGCTTCGCTTTTCCTCTGTCCTGGGGTCGTGGATCGACATCGGCACCGCCACCCTACGCCGCAGCGCTGTGCGCTGTGCGCTGTGCGGGTGCGGGTGCGGGTGCGGGTGCGGCGGCCTGCCACCCTGTCAGCGTCCTCCGTGCCTCTACGGCTCTACTAGTTGCCCTTGCGCCACGGGTTGCCTATACGACGGCCACGTTTCCGTTTTGCCTTTTCCGCGCCGCCCATCATCACCGGCACCGCCCCTTTTCCTTCGCTGCCTGCCTGTGTCCTACGGGCTACTACGGCGCCGTCCGTCGGGGGCGCGGCGGAGGACGACGGCGAGACGGTCTCCCCCGTGCCTCTGCGTCTGCTGACCCACTGCTACCGTCGTCACGTCTCGCTCGTGCCGCTCCCCGTGCATGCCTGACAAATGCTCCCCGCGCGCTGTGCTCCTCCGATCCACGCCAACCCATTCTCTGCACCCGCACGCCCGCGTTGCGTCGAGGCTTCAATTCGCATGGAACTCCTCGCCCTCGCCGAGTCGCCGTGTGTGTGTCACCGTGGATCCGTTCCACCCACGACGCCAACACGGCCGATACGTCCGTTACAGAAACTGCTGCTACGGCCTAACAGGGTACTGTCACAACTTTTACTACTCATCGCGCCACGGATTTTTCTTCACACTTTGCTTGCTAAATATGAGACGGGTACCAAATTTAGGACATCAACCAATCTGCCTCGAAATTTCAGAGATTTTGACCTCCAAAACTCGTGGATAGCTAAATACCCTAGCCCGTCAGTCCATAAGACCATAATAACAAATCAGCATATGTAAATTTGTTTTTTTTTTCCAAAAAACAAACTGAAATAAGGGAGAAACAACCATTCGCAAGCACGGTCCACGTGCGCCGCGCCGCGCAGATTCCCCAGCCCACCTTACGATTGGATCCTCCCTGTCCCTTCCCTCTAGGCCCAGCACCAAACCACCAGCCTTCTACTGGGCTTCTCTACCCCGAGGCGGACCCAGTCTTCGCCGCCTTCTCGGCGTAATGGGCCAACCATGCCCGCCGGCACACTATCCTTCCTGCCCTCCAGTTTCCGCCGCGCGCCAAGTCGAGCGGAAGGAAACTCGCATCCACAGCCGCCATTCCGTTCCGCTCCGTCCCCGCCATTTCCTCTCCGGCGCGGCGGCGCTGACGCTAGGGTTGCCGCGCCCAGCGCGGCGATGGACCAGCGCGCGCGGAGGGCGAGGGAGAGGGAGAAGCGCCGCCTGCTCGACCTCGCTGTCGAGTGCGGCTTCGACCGTGACCTCGCCGCCAGCTGCCTCGCCCGCCTCCTCGAGGTCTACGGTACGTACCTGCTGCGCGGCCTCCTCCGCCGCCGCGGCTTCCTCTCTCCTCTCTCAGATCGGCTGGCCGGGCCCGCTGGGATGGACGCGCCCGTTCCTCTCTTCTGCGGTTCTGGGACTTGTACTCTGTTAGTAACCAAAAAAGGTTGGGGAAATTACTAAATTAGCTACTGCGCTGGATGTTCAGATGCTAAATTCTACCTTTTCTGCACTTCTCATGGAGTGGTGGTTTGCATAGTGTGCTATGTAGTTCAGATGCTCACGCCTTGTTGTGGACTTGTTGTGGTATGAGACTGTGAGTGCAAGGGTAGGGTGCCTATTCTTCTCAGTCTATCCATGTACATGTACCGTTCAATTTTTTAGTGCTGAAGCCTCTACATATCCCTTCTTTCTGGAAAACATGTGTTCTTCCTTACGCTCATATGTTTCTGTGGTTGATTTCCAGTAGCAAAACAATGAGTGTTGACAGTTTGAGGAAGAGGGGAGATGTTAGGCTTTTAGAACGTTGCTTCTGTAATGAGTATGAATCATCGCGCCATCTTATTTCTTGAATTATTGGTGGCTACCAGAGTATGGGATTCTGTGTCTCAGTTTGTAGTGGCTTCAGAATTGTTTAAAATTGTGAACATATTGCTAGTAAAAGGTTCAGTCCAAAATAAAAGTCTGGTGTGTTGAATATTTTGCTGCTGGAACTGTTTTGAGGGGAGACCAAGGGTACCTATTCGTCCCAGTCTCTGTATGCACTCATCGGTTTTTGAGGTGTCAAGCCTCGATACATTCCTTTGTTATGAAAAATGTGCGTCCCTTCTGTGATTTATGTTTCTGTGCCAGATTTCTTACAACAAAACAATGATGACTGCTGATAGTTTGGTGAAAAGAGGAGCTGTTAAACTTTTACAATGTTGCTTCTGTGATGGGTATGAATCATTGTGTCATTTTGTTTCTTGATGTGCCATGGCTAGCAGTTTATGGGCTCATGTTTCGCAGGTTTTACATAGGAGCTAATTGTGAGGATAATGCTAGTATGGGATTCAGTCCAATAAAGTATGATGTTTTGAATAATATCTCTGGTGACTGTTTTGTTGTTGTGGTGGTGGGGTGTGTGTGGGGGCGTGGGGCACCAACTAGGAATGAGTATTATCTTCATGACGTGGCCTGTCATTCAAAAAAAAAAAAAAACCTGAGGACTTCGACCAATGCACACGCTATGTAATTTTAGCTGCTGGACTGCCGGGAAAATAAATACACTGTTTCCTGCTATTAAACAAGTCATTTTGCTTAGTTTCTTTTGCTTGTTTTAGCAAGAGGGCATGGTTTAGGGGTATTCAGAAATGTGGATGCATGTTTACATTGTCAGTTTCTAAAGCAAATGTTACATTGTCAAATTTGTGCACCTGCTCCTAGGAGGTAATAGCTCATCCTAACTGTTTAGATTTAGACTAAATGGATGGTCTACATTGACTTCGGAGTACCGTAGAAATTGACATGTCTGCTGGACCTGGACTGGGCAATCTCCACAATTTGGGATTCTCAGACCTGGTGCTTTATTAATAATGATAAAAAGGAAATATTGGCTATTGTTTGGGATTATGTTTCTCAGTTTCTATTGGCTTTAAATTTATTGCAAATTGTGAAGATATTGCTACTAAATGGCTCGGTCCATTAAAGTACTGTATGATGTTTTGTATATTATTACTGCTGGGACTGTTTGGGGGTATTTGGTTAACTAGATAATGGCATTATCTTCACAATGTGGCCTGTCACCCTAAAAGAAAAAGGAGCAAATGGAAGGCTTCGACCAATACACATGCTACTCTGCTGGGAAAATAAAAAACACCATGTACTGCTAGTAAACATATAATTTTGGTTAATCTTTTTATGTTGTTTGCTTGTGCTGGCAAGAGTGCAAGGTTGAGTTTCACAAAAAAGGGTCATACTGTAGGTATTCAGAAAGGTGGATGCATGCTTACGTTGTCTTCCTTTCTTAAAAGCAAAAATTTACATTGTCGAATCTGCCAACTTGCTCTTGTGTAGCTCACCCATGTTCCTTTTTACTACTGTTTACTGGGATTGTCATTGCCTAATCACTTGATATATGGTTCCTTATTCTTGTACAGGGGAGGATGGTCTGGATTTGGTTACTGTTGAGAACTGTGGCGATGATTTCCTTGCATCGCTGGCTGATGTCACACACCCTACTGATGATTGGGATGATCTCAAAGGGATCGAGACCGAAGCATGTGGCAACTTGAATGATATGATGATGAAGAATGTGCCTGACTGTAATGGAGGAGTTGCTATGGACAGCAGTCATACATCTAGAGAACCAAATTCGTGCTCTCAACGTGCTCCGGATCATTTTGAAGGTTTCGATTTTGCCTCTGATGATTCAGATTTTGAAATGGGTGATGAAATGGACAACCTTTGTGACAACTCTTCCAGTATGCAAAGGCAGACACAATCTAGAAACTCTGGAATGCAAAGCCGAAGCTCAGCAAAATCCACAGTAAGCCACTTATTGTGATCTTCCACTAATAGCCAATTCCATTGTCGTTATTCTAGTTTGCATAAGGTGATGTTATAACATAATGTTTGCATACGGACAACATATAAAACATGCTATTGTGTTCATCCTGTGCTTTCAAACTATTATAGCTTGCTTTTGCCTTTCTGCTGTTACTTTTTAGTTGATATTTTAACTTCCTCAATTTCAAATTTTGAAGGTGACTAGGGGAACCAACAGATATGAGTCAACGACTCCCACTTCAAATAGAGAGATGCCTCCAGCTGCATTTCATCAAAGGAGAGAAGTTCTGAGCTATGAACAACTTTGTTGCCTCGATGATGTCAATTTTGCCAATGTTGTCATCTTTGGCAACAAAAGCTTTAGGCCCCTGCAGTATGAAGCTTGCAGAGCTGCAATGGATAATCAAGACTGTTTCATACTTATGCCAACTGGTGGTGGGAAGAGTTTGTGTTATCAGGTCTGTAAATTCTGTGTTCTTGTTCAACATTGTTCTTTTCATTGCTTGGTGTCATGATCTGGAACAGTTCATGAAAATTTATATTCTTGCAGCTCCCTGCAACATTGCACCCAGGTGTCACTGTTGTTGTAAGCCCACTACTGTCGCTGATCCAGGATCAGATTGTGGCATTAACTTACAAGTTTGCGATATACCAGCAGCATTCTTAAATTCTCAGCAAACTCCTGCTCAGGCATCTGCAGTAATCCAAGAGCTAAGGTATCTAATATTATCTTGTGTCTCTAACCTTTGTGATCAGATTAAATAATGAATCTTAGTCTATAACTTTTTGTGCTGCAAAAAGCTTGCAAAGTACCTAAGTACGAATGGAACAAATCACATATTATTTATCGGCATATGACATTTCCAGTTGATCATCCCATTGCAGATATGGCAAACCAACCTTCAAACTTCTGTATGTTACTCCTGAAAGAATTGCCGCGAACTTTTCATTTATGGAGATCCTAAGAGGCTTAGATGAGAGGGTAATAGTCTTGAAATTCATGGTTCAAATCTACTTTCTGTCACTGCATAAGCTCGTTATTTCAATTTTAACTTACAAGCTCAATTTTAAACTGAACCTTTAATTAGGGACTGCTAGCAAGATTTGTGATTGATGAAGCACATTGTGTAAGGTAACAAATCGATCCTAAATTTGTGATGATTGTTTCAGGAACAACTATTTCTTGACACTAGTTCTGATTTTCATTTCTAAACCAGTCAATGGGGACACGATTTCCGTCCAGATTATCGTGGTCTAGGATGCCTCAAGCAGAACTTCCCTAGGGTCCCAATCATGGCTTTAACTGCAACAGCAACTGAATCTGTCTGTAAGGTAATTAAGAGCTTTCCCACACTACAGCTTGGAGCACAATTATGCAAACTGCTTACTGTTAAGTGAATGAAATCTGCAGGATGTCCTCGGTGCCTTGAGGATCCCTAATGCTGTGATATTGAAAAGGAGCTTTGATAGACTGAATCTCAATTACGAGGTGATTGGCAAGACGAAAACTTCCCAGAAACAGCTGGGTGATCTCCTGAAAGAGCGTTTCATGAACAAATCTGGTATCGTGTACTGTCTCTCGAAGAACGAATGTGCAGAGACTGCCAAGTTTTTGAGGGAGAAATACAAGATCAAATGTGCACATTACCATGCTGGCTTGGCAGCTCGTCAGCGAACCAGTGTCCAAGAGAAATGGCACAGTGGGGAGGTTCAGGTCATCTGCGCTACCATAGCCTTTGGCATGGGGATCGACAAACCCGATGTGGTACGTGGTTTCAGCCTTTGTTACTTCTGTCTACAGTTTGTCGATCTCTGCAAGTTTTTCTTTGCTAATATCTTCACCGTGCAGCGTTTTGTTATCCACAACACCATGTCAAAATCAATAGAAAGCTACTATCAGGAGTCCGGGAGGGCAGGGAGAGATGACCTTCCAGCACATTGTATTGTCTTATACCAGAAGAAAGACTTCAGCCGTATCGTGTGCATGTTGAGGAATGGTGACAACTTCAAGAGGGAGAGTTTCAAGGTTGCAATGGAGCAAGCTAAGAAGATGCAAGCATATTGTGAGTTGAAGGTAATTCTACAATTCACTGTGTCATTGAAAATGCTGCATGAAACTGAATAGTGTCGTAGTGATGATTTTCCTTTTTTCCTCTGAAGACCGAGTGCCGGAGGCAGGCACTTCTGGGGCACTTTGGTGAACAGTACAACAGGCAAAGGTGCAGAGACGGCCCTAGCCCCTGCGACAACTGCCTGAAGACATAGTTTAGGGTAAACTATGACGATAAATCCCATGATGCTTGGTGATACTCTGAATTTTTTATGTCTGTATGCCACAGTACCTGTACGAACTTGTGATGTAATGTCAACATTTCTCTGTGTATATATAGCATCCAGAGCTCAAGCAAGTGGCCGCAACTGTGTGTAATGATGGTCTTTATTTTCAGTGGATTCTTGAGGTGGATGCTTTACTCTGTTTTCTCCCTAACCACACTATAAGATATCGAGAGATCTGCCTGCGGCACCTTTTGGGTTCTTCAGCGTTATTCTGAGGCCACTGAATGATGCTCACTCCTGTGACAGGAGAGGACTGGCAGTGGCAGCATTTCATTACTGTGGAGAACTGCGGCGATGATTTCCTCACTGCATTTGTTGAAGCAATACAGATTACTGACTATGACGACCTGGAGGTGAGGGTCCCGTTCGCTTGGAGGAATTTTGAGAAATCTGGAGAAATTTGTGGGAGAAAAACACTGTTCCGGATGAAAAAAAAGCGGATCAAGTCGGGTTTAAGGGCACGCATAAACGGGCCGATAGAGCTGTCCTGCAAATATTCCTTCGTTCAGAGCTTCTGCGTTGTTGCGTCTTCCTCTATTATACACTATAAAAGAGCTGGCCGTATGGTTGTCCGTCTCATCTAACATTTCCAATATCAGTGAACTTTGAAGATGCAAGCATATTGTCATCTGAAGGTAAATCGACAGTTAACTCTGTGGTCTGAACTTCTGCAGCAATGCAGAATGACAATTTTCCGAACGACGAGCCCCACAAAACCCTCATTGCAGACTGAATAACTGCCTCAAGATCGCCTCTTGAGAGCCTTGCACTAAATAGGGTGATTTTTTTTCGAAAGGGCGGCAAAAGCTTTGCCGCGGATTTTATTAGGCGATATAAAAAGAAAAAAAGAGCAAATACAACTCCCTTTACACCCAGCGTCCCCTGCTAATCAAAACGGAAACCAGCAAAACGACAGAAAAAACAATTGCACGAAAGAAAACAGGTAAAAAGACTGAGACTAGGGACACTCCGAAAACAAGAACCCTGGCCCAATTGGAGAAGAGGTCTACTGCCAGTTCGCCGTATTACGAATTGGAGCCGTCGCCAAAGAAAACTGACTTATATCATCTTTGCACAAACTTGCGACTTGTCTTGGGCTCAAACTTTTTTGTTGGAAAGTTCGCCGATTCCTCTCTTTACAGATATTCCACCAAAAATAGATTATGATCCCATCGAAGCACCGTCTTTGATTTTTGTCAACTTTTCTCCTACATCTTCGCCAGTAATTACGAAGCGACCCAGTTGTGTTTATGGAGCTGACGTCAGTTAAACTGAACCATATCTTCAACTCCCACACTAAATAGGGTGATCATTGTGCGCTTAGCTGCTGGTTGTATTAAAAAGGAGAAACCAGACTGGGCAATACAAAGTATGACTGAATTGCATCGTTCTGGGGATCGGTGACTCATGTTTTATACTTTCGAAGTGTGTATCCCATAAAACTTAAACAAACTTCTAATGATGGCTGCCTCTGTATATAAGCTTTTGTCCTTCGCATCTAAAATCCAAAAAAGGTGCCAACAAATAATGCAATGTTGTACTCATTGTAAGGTGCTTGATCCTTTTCTGTCTGTTTGTCTTGACCCCTGAGATCCCTTTTCAGTGGTTTCTATGGCTTCTTGTGTGTGTTGCATACTTAGCTCTGTTTGTCTGTAAGCACGGTAAAAGATGCGAATTCTGAGTCAAAGGATATATCAGTGCTCATTTCAGAAGTATTATTCAATAGTGTTTCTGTGAGAGAGAATAAGCTGAAGTACGGCTGATAAGCCGGTTGATAAGTTCAAACGAACAGGGATATATTTATATGTATATATATGTAGACAGTAACCGGTGAACTGTAGAAGTAGCAGTGGGTGATACTTGATTCAAATTGTAATGCTGGAAATGGCTCTAATACCGTGGGTCAACCACATGATCGAGGAGTTGATGTAAAAAGGAGTTGATGAAAAAGGTTATGTATCCGTGCTCAATGATGTATGTGAAGGTTTTACAAACTGTGATGATGTTTATTCAACTGGGAATGAATCTTTCAGTTTCTCAGACATGAACTGGGATTATTCCCTGGAATTTTGTATACAGTTTCAGATACTTCCCTTGTAGTCATGCAAGCATGCCCTTGCACCTTGCTGAATCAAAGGTTGCATCATTTGTTTTTTTTAGTGCACACTACTGATGCTTTCTAATGCTTAAATCTTGCTTGTAGCTGGGTCTGTTTCTGACAGTTATTTTTGCACACAAGAATAAGTCACGGTTTTCATCAGTAAACTCAAAGATCTAAGCAAAGATAAAACTCATGGTTTTCTGTCAACTATGGCCTGATTATTACAAATAAACCATGCATTTTCAACAAGATGGTATTTCATTACAATTCACTGCATACATATCTTTTTCAGAACTCAAAAGATTTTGTTAACACAGGTGGTTAATATTGATATCATTAATTCACGTAATGCTAAAATCATAAAATCCAATATCATTACATGATAAAGGCACAACTCAAATTGAAATTAAAATTGCAAAAATGCACATCCTCCTCAAGATCTGCTGCTGCTCAAGGTAAAGTTTCTGCTCAAGCCCTGGTAGTGGTAACATCATGCACATTCTGTCGCTGCGATTTCTGATCTTTCATCTTCTCGTTGCCCCAACTGCTACTGCTATCAACTCTAGCCCTGGTGGTGGTAACATCTTGCACATTCTGTCGCTGCGGTTTCTGATCTTTCATCTTCTCGTTGCCTTAACTGCTACTGCTATCAACTCTTTCACCTGAAAACCATGTATGAATATGTTTTCAGGACTGCATCGAAACCAATATTATTAGTGCTGTAAATTTCATCAGGCATGCTTGACTGCTGAGCAAGTCCGTCGGGCAGCACATGGTGGCAACAGAAGGCCATTGAAGTATACCTGAGGCCCTCGTGTCGCCATGTCCTGCACAGAAATTGTCACCTCCAAATGAGTCAAACTGAACCTAGTATCCTGCAATCCTGCAAAACATTAAGCAAAAAGAATAGCTTGAAGTGGCCCTGATAAATTCATACGCGAATCATCTGAACTTTCAAGAACACCGTTCACTCGTTGAATGGAATTGCCGGCTTATTTCCTGATTGCCATATAGGATTCAGACTTCAGAGATCCTCATCTCAAACCGAATCACTCAAGAGAGCTCTGAAACGAATCAAGAAGGGACAGAAAGACAGGCGCTTCCATGCTCACCATGATGCGGCCTCGTCGCCTCGTCCTGCGCTCCTCCTCTTGCTTTCAAACGTAGCAAGCGTTGGGTCTGATTTGTCCGGCTGGATTTGAAGGAAAGTCACGGCGTACCGTATCTGCGTCCGTGTTTTACAAGTGAGCAAATCCAACCAGTATGTGTTGCATATACATATACACTCAAAATTAGTGAACTGGGACTGAACACAAGGTAATTTTGCATATACATATACACCAACAGGACAACTCAGATCACGGTCAGTAAATCAGACCGAGCAGGAGACGGATATAATCGCAACAACAATACTACATGTCAGGTCAGACGAAAAAGGGTCAGTAAATTAGTTTGTAAGCACAGGTAGCTAGCTGGTGTCGAGGCAAGGCCTGGCATGGGAGGACAATTCGCCGAACAGCTGCAGTGCGTGGTCGAGGGAACCTCGCGCTGCCCACGACGACGACGCGCTGCTGCAGCTGTTCGACGAATTGCTCCCCCACGGCAGGCCAGCTCCGGGGGCATCGGTCGCTGGCGGCGCTCGCTCTCGCGGCGGGACATGTCACGGGGCCGGATGCGGAATCTGAATCGGCGGTACTTGTAACTAAGGCCCGTTTAGATTCCAATTTTTTTTGCGCAGTGTCCGTCACATCGAATTTTACGGCACATGCATGGAGTACTAAATATAGACGAAAAAAAAAACTAATTACACAGTTAGGTGAGAAATCGTGAGACGAAACTTTTGAATCTAATTAGTCCATAATTAGACACTAATTGACAAATACAAACGAAAGTACTACGTTAGCCAAAATCCAAATTTTTTTAATCTAAACGGGCCTTAGCAGACGGCGGCGGCGGATGAGAGGAATGGAACGGTGGTTTAGGGTTTCGAAGCTTCGTTGCGCCGGTATAAATAGAGAGCTGGAGCGGAACCACGGAATCTGGCTGGAACGGCCTACTGCTGCCCGATCGACGAACCTCTTGGGCTGGAAATGTTCTCTTTGGGCTGGGCCCAACTTAACCAAGTCATGGAGCCCAGGCCAAAAAGGAGCCGCACATCGAATGATCTATCGTGCTGACGGCTGTGATTTTCAACGGAAGATATTCTTCTGTTGTCAAAAAAAAAAAAAACGGAAGATATTCAGTGCACACTTCATTTTCATTGGAATCGTGAAAATTCTCTAAAAATACACTTATAAGTTTTGAAAAAATAACAAAATTCTGCAGTCTAAATTTTTACAAAATTTTCACAAAAATTCATACAAAAATAACAAAATCATCTAAAAATACACTTAAAATTTTCGTTGTCATGGAATTTAGTACTCATTTTTACAAAATTCATACAAAAATAACAAAATTCAGGTGCATATATGCACTAAAAATTTGTCATCTGGTGCATATGCACCTAAATTTGTTATTTTCATATAATTTTTTTATATTAGTTTGAATCTCAAATTTTGTGATAATATACATCTATAGATGTACCATGGACGTGCATCATTTAAAAAAAGAAACTCCTAAATGTGTTTTTAGGATTCCATAAGAAATATGATTTATGATAAATATTTTCCTATTAAGTGAAATGCGCCGTGGGTCCCTTTCCCCATATTATTATATGTCCATGAATTCTCAAAGTGATCATCTAGGTCATTTACCTTTTTAATTAAGGGATTCATTCAAAAATGTAAATCCAGGTTCATGATTGGATCTGGAGTGATTATCTATCTAA